TTGTTTACCGAACACATGAGCCGATAAGGTGGCACAAATTTGCTTCCTGAGCTTCTGCTGCTCAAGTCAAGCTCCCAAATGTGCAGATGAAGATGGAACATGCTACTTCCACATCAATGTGGTATCACTGTAGCTGACTGATGAATCAGAGACTCCTATGTGTGTGACTGGAGGCCAATCAATTTCTTTGATCCTTGCTTTCTTTGGTACTTTTTTTGTAAAATCAAGAAAGCCATGTTCACTGTACCTCTTCAATGTTTATGGTATTCCTCTTTCAAATATGAGGTATTATTATTATCAGGGAAAATCTTATAAAACCTGTTGCCAAGTGCTTGATATTGGATAAAACCCTTGTATTTTCTAATCTATGAGGATATAAGAGGGAAAAAAAATCACATAATAAATATTTTTTCCCTTAAGCAGTTTTTTGCAGGGTTCCAAAAATCTAGGACAAATCATAGCCTATTTTTTTTTCAATTTTAAAACATTGTTCAATTTTTTCCTTGAATGTTAGTACCAAAATTTCCAATCAGAAGCTTCATTGTCAAAAACAAATACTACCTTCAATTTGTGGTCACTAAATACATGTGGATTAAGCTATTTTTAGATGTTAAGACTAAAGCTCAAATTACTCATGTGGCTATATAGCCATAATCATCACTCAATTCATTTGCTAGGGTCTGTTTGTAGTTCTATTGTTAAGAATAACCATTTAAAAATAGCCAAACCTCCAGTTTTCCTGAGAGTTGAATATTTCATCATACATGGGCTAATACAAAATTTTCCTTTCACCACTCTGGAGGCAATTTAAAATTAATTGTAAAATTCCAGTAAATTCAATATTACGAGCAGAAATGATGGGCTATAATTAAACAAGGAAACCTTAGTTGAACTGAAGTAAGATTTCAACTGATAAAAGAAATGAAACAAAGTGACTAACAAATTTCCTAAGAAAAACAATGTTCTTAGCATATAGCTCCATGTGTGTACAGTAGCCCCCCGTTATCTGTGAGGGAGGTGTTCCAAGACCCCCAGAGGATACCAGAAACTGCAGAAAATACCGAACCCTATACATATATGTATGGTTTTTCTTATACATAATACCTATGATAAACCTTAATTTATAAATTAGGCACATTAAGAGATTAACTAGTAATAAAATAGAACAATTATAACAATATACTGCAATAAAAGTTATGTGAGTGTGCTTTCTCTCTCTCTCTCTCAAAGTATCTTACTGTATCATACTCATCCTTCTTCCTGTAATGATGTGAGACGATACAATGCCTACCTGCTGAGACGAAGTGAGGTGAATGAGGTGGGCATTGCCAACCTTCTGAAAATACATCAGAAGGAGGATCATCTGCTTCTGGAACACGGTTAACTTTACTGAAACTTCGGAAAGCGAAACCATGGATAAGGGGGGACCACTGTGTGAGGATATATTCCTTAAAACAATCTATCAAGTTTTTTTTCAGGACAAAATTGAGTGTCTAATATAGTTACATATGACATTGCTTTGGCATCAGATCAGTTCCATTACAAATATGTAGGAATATGAACCCTAAGTACAAGATGCTCTTTAAAACAACTATTGAAATTTATAGGAATTAGCCTTAGATTTTGGAACCAGCTTTGAGTGGCAAATGACTCGCTTTTATTAAAGTCAGCCTTTTATTTATTTTTTTATGTATATCTTTGTAAAATAGTCTATTATCCCTATTTTTCTTCAGAAGGGAATCATCCAAATATCCAGTGAAGTGGCCCAGTTTCCTCACAGATAACTTGTGGGGAAGCCAGAAACCATGCTCATTGTTCTGTGATGCTCAAGCTTGTGCCCAGATCCCTTGGCCACAAGGCTTTTCCCCCAATATCCAACACTTCCACACATTTTTCCATAATCCCTTTAAAAACAGATGTCATCTCATGAAATTCTTCTTGACTATTTCACAAAAGCTAAACTTCCAAGAATCTGAACAACTTTATTTCTTCTCTATGTCTAATAATAATAGCTCGCAGTCACAATAGACACAAAGCATTTAATGGAGGGTCTTTACTCATTATTAGTGTCCCCTAACCCTAGTGCCCTATGCTGAAATTATACAATTATTTTAAACTGAGTTGACAAGTATCCAATAAAACCCACATTGTTGTTTTTGATTAATACAATTCCATACACTCTCAATACCGCTTAAAAACTCCATAGCAACATCATTTCTCAGTGGATTTATGTCTCACTAGATTTGGACAATCAAATAGCCAAATGATTTTTAAAAAAAATTTGTTTCCTGGCAAAAACGCAATCTGGGTCCCCAATAAAGAATTCTCTCTTTGCTAATTTTCTTTAGTCCTGTTTTACCATGTCCTGTACACTACTTGGATTTGAAGAAGATTTTTATAAGGGTTCAACTTCTATAATCAAACCATGGATGAAATGATACAATTACATTACCCAACTCAAACGGCTAGCATAATAATATTACTAGCGAGCATGGTATGTTGATGCTATATCTACTTGTCGACCTCTCCAGTGCCCTAAAATGATTCAGATTCCCAAGCGTGAAATTAGTTTCTCTTGTTAAAGTAAAACCAACCTGATCATTGAAAAAAGAAATGATATTGCCATGGCTTTGAAAAAGATGCTTTCTCTATCACTTCATATATATTTATAGGCACAGACACACAATAACCTTAGAAGTGGTCACTCTATTAGTACTTATTTTTAGTTATAGTTTTTTCTCACAAATCATTTTAGCCCTACTCTTTGGAAGTTGCTTTTAAAGCTGACTTGTCAGTCATGAAAAGAACATGACCTCATTCTCTATCATCTTAGTAAACTTGACAAAACTCTAAAAGAGGCCACTTGATCATACATGTTAATCATCAGATTTGACTTCAAATGCATTTCCGTAGTTTCCAGAGTCAACTCAACCATCTAAGAAGGATGGCTTTCCGTCTCTGAGAAGAGGGAAAGAAGATTCTCAGACTGAAGGTAACTGGTCCTTTCATGACTGAGCATTGATGACCTAACCGGGGAATTCTTTAAACTCTGTGACCCTTTGTAACCTGCATGGACTTCTAATCAAATAGCATACACGAGGTTTTTCCAGTGCAGAAGCCGCCTTCCATCACCATTCATAATCCTGGTAAGCTATAAATCCATTCCTGGAAGTAACAACCTGTAGGCTACCTGAGGATGATATATCAACTTATCCATCTTCGACTGGAAGCCCTGATACCGCTCTCAGAACTCGTAAGTAGGCAATGGAGACTTACCATATAAGTAATTTATTTCACTTCCTGATAGGAGCCTCTGTAGTTACTGAAGCATACCATAGAAAGGCCAGAAGAGATGTTCCAGAAATAAATCTGCCCTTTTAATGAGAACCAACAGCAAACAATGTGTAAAACATTCACTGTCGGGACTCAGGTCAAATAATTCTTGCTGTAACAATGACAAGAGGGCACAACTGATGTCCCTCGGCTGTGGAGGAAGTGACTTGATAAGGTGGCCGTTAGTTAAAACACATGCAAACCCAGAATTAGTGACCGGGCCCCTTTCTACCGAAGGGAGGAAGTACAACAAAAGGACTAAGAATGAGGCATTTAACTATACATTGCTCCTTTCCACACTTACTCTGCCAACTTTATATTGCTTTTATTGGGATTGATTTGGTTTAGAATTTGTTACTTTCTAGACTGAGAAAAGAGATGCAGTATATCCTTCATGACTTTGTTATAAGTCCAATGTGAATTAGCAACTTCTCTGATAATTGTTGATGAAGTCTACATTCTGATCAATTAGATGAACGACCTACTGTGTGACGTCTACTCAGGATGTAAAGGAATACAGAACACTTTTCTGGAAACATTTGAGTAGCTGTATGGTTCACTACAAGAAAACAGTTTTATTCCTGAGAGGATGAGAGAAGTTGTCTTTTAATGCAGAAATAGTAAACCAGGTCAGCTTTCACTTACCCTTATCCATATTGCTGAAGTTAAGGACAAAGCATTAGCTGACTATTTAATTGTTACCCCACTAGTCAGAAACAAAGTCTACATTAAACTTTGACTTCCTTCAGGCTCACTGTTTCCCTACCATCTCATGATGCTCTCCTACATACAAATAGTTATTACTATAGTGCCATCCATGCTTATGTACCGAAAGGTAGTTCTATACATCAATTCAGATTTGAAGGAAGAGGTCTCTAGAACTTTTGAGTCATCTTTTAGCTTTGTGATCTGCTTTCTTCAGGAAAGTTGAAACATACATGGATATGGAGACAAAGATATTAATTTAAAATTTAGTTGTAAGTGAAATGTAATGCCCACGTCTACTATATATTCGTTCTGTGTCTTAGAAACTTACATGGGCACATCCATAATAAACTTTGAAGGATTCTGCTTTTAATCCTTCATTGTCTTTTAATTTTAAATCCTTCATTTTATGATTTCCTGCTCTTTCAATTTCCAAATATGCATAAACACTCTCCTGGCTAAATAGTTCCTTGGCAGGAAAACATGTAGCACCTTTCAAAAAGCCAAATTATATCTCTGATGATAACGGCAGTGAATTATTGCAACAGGTGAGGAGAAGCCCAATAGTACCTAAAGATTGCAATCCTTTCAGATGAGGCAGTGATGATATAAACTGCCAAAAGCCAACTGTGTTTGCTTATGTGAATACAACAACCACTCGTCAAAGTTTAGGACCAGTGAGAGGAGCAATTTGTCATGTGTAATCACCTGTTTTCTCAGAAGAGAAACACAGCACCTCCCCAAAGACTGTTTCCCATTTGTCTGGATGATCTGGATGAGGTGCAACAATGCTCTAGTCCAGAGGTATTTGGCTCTTGCAATGCATTTATATTTATTTCAAATGAAATCAGAGATGCGTTCTCTATTACTTCCTTGCCATAGGTGTGATGCGTGGGAAGGGATATGTAACCATAAAGTCAGACCACTCTTGGGGATTTTCAGAGCACCACTGCTGACCAATCTGAATTCTTGATCTTTATTCATGAAAAAAGTTCCCCATGGGAAAGGATATAGCTTTACAGCAGTCCAAATTGTAATAGATGTTGATTTACTGTTGATAAATATGTGGAGTAGAGGGAAACAATTCACAGAGAATCCACTATAAGTTCTATGGTTAGGCTTCATCCTTTATTAGGTAGTGAGTAAAAGACAACTGATGCTTACAACTCCAATTTAAGAGACCATTTAAACAAAAATGGTTCCATAGCGAAGTGAGGCAGAAGGGATTTAGGTATTTCTGAGTTTTCTCATATGGCTGATGGAGAAAATATGGCTGATTTGCTTGTTCCCAGCAACTCATTAGAGTTAGTAATACCTTGAGATCCGAGACTCTTGTATCCCACAGGCCCTGACTTCTAGTGGACTGGCTCACTCACTGTGGTGAAGATGAGGAAGAACAGCGAAAGAAAGCACATTGCAGTGAGACTGCATCGATTACCACTACGTTCTCCACTGGAAAGGGAGGTTTTCTCAGGTGTAAAGATTGTTGGATAAGGATTCAGGCTGACATAGTGAAAGATCAAAATATTTGACAAAGTAGAAAAAGGAAACTAAAGTGCAAAACGGTCGGAAGCTGGTCACGGGACATAGAGCCCCAAACAACAAACTCATCAGCAACTCTCCACGTGGCTGAACTAGCAGGATCTGTGGGTGAAAAAAGGTAACACTTGCTAACACCAGAGAGTAGAGATACTGGTAAATGCAAAATCACCAGATACTCTCAAAAGCAAATTTTAATGCTAACCAACATGTTTAACCAGAGATATATGGTTTGAAATTCTTGTACCAAAGACTGATACAATACTTTTTCTCTTCCTTTCTTCCTGCCTGCCTTCTTCCCTTCTTTCCTTCCTTCCTTTCTTTTTATTTTGTTTTTGTTTTGGTCGTTTGTTTAACAAAAGGTATATGTTTAAAGCCAACTGCTTTAAAGATATGTTCATATGACAAATGTCGATAGCCAGACGGTGGAGCAGAACTCCAAAGACCAAGTTTAATGTTGAGCACCAAGCACGCTATGGGTGTTTCTTAAATATAAAATGACAAATGCTAAATACCCATCTTTCAAATGGTTTCATCTTGAATCTTCATGAACCTTTCAAAAGGTTACTACAGTTTAGATAAGAGCAGTTTGGGGAAGGCCATACCCAGCCCTTCCCTATATTTTTTAAATAGTCTTTACAAAACCTTTCAAAAATATTTTTTTCTCTAAACCTAAATCATGTAGGGTTGATTTATACATGTTTTATCATTGTTCTACGTTTGTGTGTCACTGTTCTTAATGCAACAGACTGGTTGCATTCAACCCCATCATAGTGATAGGCATGTGTTAGCTTTCTATGGGAAAAAGAAAATAGCCTTTATCACAAATTAAAGGCACAGCTATTTTTATGCTATTTGTTACCAACCTAATGATAACATGTAAGATGGGATGATTATATAATTATTTTATATAGATTTTCTTTTTATAAGTTATTCTCTTAATCTTTCTAACATATATACAATATACATATATTTATATATACCCCTGATAAATCTTGTTTTAAAGGTAAAACATCAACTCCTTTCAGCCTTATGGGAACTATCAAAGGCTGTCAGCATTTCACAATTCCACTACAGAAATGATGGTCGAGTGCATCTTACCAGTATTTTTTTTTTTTAACACTACATCCTTGGTCTGCAATTAACTCAGATTCATTTTTCTTGTTTTACTAACATCTAAATATATATCGTTTATATCATGTCAGTAGGAAATCTAAAAAGCAACAAAAAAGCCCACAACAATAGCTAATGTCTACCATCAAAACAGAAACCATTGCCTAAGAGATAACCCTACTGGTACGATATAAAGGGGATACTGCAGAGATACAATAGTCTCTGTTTTTACTGGATATGTACCAACATGAAAAATCTTTACTTTGCATTATCCTCCTAGGTTATGATCATCCCTTATCCACGAAATGGAATAGTTGTACTGGTTTCTTTCTAAACACCCATGATGCATGGGTTTACCTGTTTTCAGATGGATGTTCATTAGAAACACTTCCCTATTTCCAGCAATACTGCTTCACGGTGGGAAAATAGTATTTTGTAAGAAATCGTCTTTCTTACTATCTCCCTCACCTCTACACTTAGCCCTGTTCTATTGTTCTGAACTTAAGGTCATCTCCGAGCTGGACAGAAGGGGGAGAATGTGGACCAGGGAGACCTCCACACCACCTTCTGGCGTTCATTTATTTTTAGACAGCTTACCGGCATGAAATAGTTGTTCGTTCTACCTTTCTCAATTCTTTAAAACCTAGTGGCATAGATTGAGACACAGCACTATTGTTTTACAAGACATCTACTGTATCTACTTTTGTTGGGATAAATACCCAGTAATTGCTGTCATAGCAAGAGGACCAGCACGGGTACTACTATATTCACAGTGTTGCTTTTGTTTTTTTTTTCTTCTTTTTTCGTATTATTTTAATCTACAGAGTAAATTATTATATATACATTGGAACCAGTTAATGCCCTTAGACAATGTATAGTTGTTTCATAAAGCAGGAAAGACAATGCAGAGGGAAACAGGTGCCCAAAAGCACAGTCACAAAGGCTTCAGAAGTTCTAGATACCACTACAAGTCAATGCTGGAGATCACTTCTAAAACAATCAATGTTCAAGAGGAATGCTTTAATTTGGAGAAAATACCACCCCACCCGTCCCGCCCGCAAACCAAACCTCCCTCCTGTTTTTATAATCTTTTCAATTCACTATCAAAAGTCCTGGCTCTTCAGATATACTGGAAACTATAAATAAACACTGCATAGTTCTCTTTTGTTTGTTTTGTTTTTTGTTTTTTGAAAAATTATTGCAGTACAATTACTCCCATTTGGAATTCAGTAAGGAGCAAACAGCACAGGAGTGTGGGTGGTCCGAATGGGTCCAGGAGCTGGCCGCAGGAGCGCTGGAGGAAGTGCCGAAGTCTGGAACAGTGTTGCTGCTGGAGCAGTTCGAAGACTGAAGGGGGAGTTCACGGCCACAGCAGCAGCGGCCGCCGCAGCAGCCAGCGGGTTCGGTAGAATTCGCGGAGCCAATGGCTTTGAAGGTTCTTTTGAAAATACTAATTTTACCTGCAAAAAAGAGGAAAAAGAGTAGAAGAACAACAGTTTGGGAGTCTACACTCAGAATCCAAAATGGTGGGCAGTTTTAAAATATAGCAGTAAACAACTACACAGATAAACTCACACTTGGGAACAAACAAAAATAATGCAAAGCGTAGAACATCTTTCCTTGGAAAGAGTTGGGAGATCCCTAAAAATGGTAGACCTAAGATGTTGAAGAGTCCTCCGGAAAAGTACACAGCAACTTTAGTTTATTTTCCTTGATAAATATACTTCCCGAGGAAAGTATTCATCTTGAGAAAAAATAAGGAGTTTTTACTCCATCCTTTACACACACATTATACGGAATTGACATTTTTAAAGAGAGATTTATTAATGCTGTCAGCTACCGTTAGACTAGCCAATTTTGTAAACAGAGTAGCACAGCAAAGTGTAAGGTACTAGTCAAGAGAAATAAAAATAAAATCCCATTTTATCTCCCTCAAAGTTTCACATGTTCTGCTTTTTTTGTGCAAATGTATAAACGTTCTCTCAATCCCACTGTACAAAACTAGTTCATTCGCTGCCTCACAGCATTAGCGAGATGGCTGTTTTCACAGAGAGAATGTTCCCGTTTATGGAAACAGTAACATGGCGATAGTTAAGAAGGAGGTTTGGGATGCTAATATTAACACAATTTGACTTCTCTGTTTATTTAAAAACCATTCGCTTCATTGTTGAAAGCTGCATCTATGATGGTCAGAAATAGCACTCAGGGTTATGACCAGCGATGCCGAAACATCAGCTCTGCGCAGAATTCACAGCCTCTCAATGCAATTAAAATTCTTCCTGTACAAAAGAGTAAAGTGACTTCATTTGCATAAAAATGGGTGATGCTACTAAATTAATTGGGTCAACTCATACTGAAGTCCCATAATAGATGATTGCAGTTTTCCTTTAACTAATTTTCATGTGTCAGCAGCACACAATAGCACCAATTATTAGTAAGATCTATTTCGAAGAAAATGGATTCAAAATGCACTATTCACCACATAACTATACATCAGTTGTTCTTAACTTTTCCTTGAACCCTGGGTCTCTCTGATGAAAGCTATGGTCAATTCAACCAGGGGAAAAGAGCACATGTTCGTAAATATTAGCTTAAGATATTAAGAATTTCACAGATTTCCCCTAAAATTCTATACAATTCCAGATCAGACATTAGTACTGGCAGCTTACTAATCTCAAAGGCACATTTGGGGTAATGGGAAGAGGGTATTTCTCAGGAAGCATTTCCCCAGGCCTTAGATACTGTCCTTGGGTAAATAATTAAATAAAATAAGCTATTCCTTTGAGACTGTGTTATTCAAAATCTATAATTGCTGAGAGCATCAACAATACTGATGCCTTGTCTCTTAAAGATATTAAAAAGGAGATGAAAGAACTTGTTCTTCGCTGACCTTTCCTAAAAGTACCCACTATTGTCAAGATCAGATTTAATGTGACCACTTTCCTGACTCAGAAGAGTTTGACTTTTTTCCCTCCCCCACGCTCTGTCATAAGCCTGAGACCAATCAAAAAGATGAGACACCGGACTGTGTCTAAAGGTGGCAGAACACCCAAACAACTCACGAAACCAATAATCCTATTGGTGGAGTAGGGATTGGACTTTCAAATCACTTGTTTGTCATTACTTAGGTATCTTCCATTGATTTCATTTAGTAACTGACCAAAGAAAAAAAAAATTCCAAGTTCAGCGGACTGTGAGACATTAAAAGTACTCTCTTTTGGGAAGCAAAATGACACTCACCCCCAGTGGATGTGCTGCCTTCTGTAGTTTGTTGTAAGGACTGTATTTAGGTTTCGGGGGCTTCCCAGCAGCTCTGTCTTTGTGCCTTCTACTGCTAATGTGCTATTAAAAGCAATTAAAAACGACAGCTTTAAAAAATCATCCCCAAAACCTCATAAATATTGCTGTAACCTGAGGATATTAATGATTTCATGCAAGTTTCAGAAAGACGAAAATAAAAGAGCATGCACTCTTGTCCTTGGATTCTGATGCCTTAAGGATGCCTATTTTTACGCCATCCATTTTAGCATACTTTTAACAAATAGACCGATCTTCTTTTCCCCAGCCTTTCTCCTTATCACTGTACAGATCTCCTTGTTTAGAGGAGAGTTTACAAAGGAAAGGAATGTCTGAAGGAATTTTATGTGCAAATAAACAAAGAAGCCGAGGCATGAATTTATTTCCATACTAATATTTACCCTTGCATTTGTACAGCCAAATGTCAACCCCTTAAAATCTAAAGATAAATAACCAAGGTGCATAAAATCAGTGCAATATTGTACATATGCTTATAAAACACAACATAGTATGAGGGCTGGGCCTTCGATTAGCAATGTGTAAGGGAATCTTCGCAAGGCTATTCACAGTAAAAGTGAATGCAGCAGGATTAGTCATCCCTGTAGCAGGTGGCTGCGGGATTTAGAAATACAGTACAACACCATGTAATAAAGTACATTAAGTAAAAGAATAGCACAGTATAAATTTAGTTGTAGCATGTAAATATCTAAACAAGTAAAAATGGAACATTGCAATTTGACCTTTAAAGAAAATCAACACTTTTGACTGGGAAACCTGGTAGAGAACAGATCTAATTCCCCTTTTCCTCCCACTCTTCATATATAACAACAGTACAAACTCACTTCAGACAATTTCTGAAAGGTCTTAGAAGCCATTACAATTTAGCATTCTCTCAGCAACTAAAATAAGCATACATAAGTAGGGAGAGGGAATAGAAGACAAGCGGATAGATGGATGGGAGGGAACAACAGAAAAGAGAGGGATGAAAGGAAGCACACACAAGTGTCCCCTATCTGTTTTCATTTCTGGAATATGTGCCGCCCACCTGTTTAAGTTGTGTTTCCGAGTTGACGTGCACATCACAGATTTCACAGTGAAACGTTTTGTTTTGTAGGCCTGTATTTCCCTTATTAACTGGTCCTTTGCCTTTCACACCAGCCCTAGGAAAGGCTTTGATAGTCCCACTTCCGTTCCGGGCTTCCAGCATGGTTTTGTGCTTAGTACCTGCCAGGAATATTTAGCAAAAAAGAAAGAAAAAAGAGGAGAAACATCTTAACTAGTATACGTCTTCAAGAAATGATACAATATCAAAATGTGATGCCTGGTGCTGGTGCCATTCCAGGAATTATGGTTGAAATATGCTAGTGACACAGAAGAGTGCAACGATGTGCTCTGACCACCTTACATAACATTACTTACTTAATTACTCATTTTTTATAATGTCCCACATTACAAATAAGCACCATCAATATACTAAACTCGAGAGTCCTGAGATGAAATTAAATGGGTGTTACTTCGTTTCATTTCCTCTTGATGCTAATAAGACATAAATGATAGCTGATGAGGAAGAGTGATTTAGTTGCTAAAGGTATAGTTGGAGGTGAGGTGTAACAAATGTAATCAGTTTAAACATAGTGTGTTTACAGAAGTGGCACTAATTAAATATCCACTTTCTAAACAGAATACAAACAAGCTTTCCTGGCTATGTGTTTTAGGCTCAAAGAGGAAGAGTAATAGAATAAGATCTTCATGACTGAAGAAAAGCCGTAATTGGATAGTAAAACCCACAAAGATTGGCTAATTTCAAATACAAGCAAATATCCAAGAACATGAGGGTTGGAATCATAGGCTAAGCAGATGCACGATAAATAAATGCTTCTTTTTAATAAATCAATAACATCTTTGTAAAGTCATACATAAGTAACATAGCTCTACTTAACATTTGTTTTTTAAAAATCACTAAAGTTCATGATGGCAACTTTCTCTCAAAATTTTGCTCACAATTTCCTTTTTCTTACAGTTAATAAGTATTCGTTATTTTTCTCACTTAGTCATGTGTTTTTGCTATGAAATTTTCTTTTGTAATCATTTATGTCCTTTCTGCCATTCTGGTTTTTTAAATCCATTTTTAGTGTTTTTTTTCCTTCCTAATTGTATTTATTAGATTGTTGTCAGTCCTGCAAGCCTAAACAAAGATTTTTAACTTGTGACTCTTTGGGCCGGCCTGCAGAACCACTGAATATTAATGAGGAAAATGTGTTGAGGGGCACTCTGGCTCAGTGCCAATTACCATCGTCTTAAATAAGAGGCAATGAATACACACAGTGGGTTTATTAGCCAGGTTTCTCTCTTTGAAAATGATTATAATTTTACTGAGTTCAATATAAAAAAATGTGTATTTTTACAAATTAGATTACCCACTTTGAACATTGTATTCTTATGCACAGCTATTGCAATGTTCATATTTCAACACATTAAGGAAAGAGGAAAAAAGGCACATCTTGTGAGAAGACTGGAGGAGCTGAAATATGGAGCCACAGAACTTCCCCCTGGTGGTGGTTGTGAGGCCTCACTGAGGTTTGCTTTCAGCCGTCTCCCTTGTCATATGGTGACACAAACGCTTTCTACTTTGTATGAAGATGTTCTAGGGAGCAAGATATATATATATATTACATACATGCACACATAGACACACACATACACACACACACACATCGTTTTGCCCTACTTTCATTTATTCCATCTTTATGCAAAGTAGAAAGTGTTTGTGTCACTATATGGGTGTGTGTATAGATGATTGTCCAACCTTCTTTATCCAAACAGGTGATTTTATCAAAACAGTTCTTTTCCATGTAGCTTCTTCAGTCAAACTGAGAAGCATTCCTGGGGCCATTTTGGCTTAGGAATGCCTAAGAAGTAGTCAGTGAGAGACACTCGCATCCTGACACTTGTGAGGGACTCCTGATTCACTCTGGTTAATATCTTTTGGGATTGGGAGTTGGTGTTGGTGGGTAGGTGGAACCTGAACGGATCAGAAAACCATTTTAATCTAGTCAACAACATTTCAGTTAATTTATCTTGCCTAGGAGAAGAAAAAAGCCAGACGTAGGTGGCTTACCTCAGGACTGAGTGTCAGGGAGTTAGGGAGATGAGGGGAAATTCAAAAGTTTTGGCCCCAATAGTATGGGCTTAGCAATAGGAGGTAAAGATCTAGAAAATAACATGTTCCCGGTAATACCTTTGGCAAGCTAAGATCCACCTATGCCATGTCCCTAAACGAGTGGAAATGATATGTAGAAATATGTGAACTTTTAGGAATACGCATCCTCTCAGAAAATCACTGGATTGCTAGCATTATTATTTCAATTTAATCTCTTCACAGAAGCTAGAAAAGACAGAATAATTAAATATACCCACCCATTGGCGCCTTACATACACAAGTGCACGCATGCACAAACAAACATACACCATACATATATGGTTAAAAATGTGGCAAGATTGGGTGAAAAATGTCACATAATAGCTTTGACTGTAGGGTTACTATTCAGCATCAAATAGAATGGAAGTTTTGTACAATATAACCTCCTGCATTTAGATTGTGAGTCATAATTAAATAGCTATTAGATGGTTTTATAAGATTTTAAAGCTTGAATAAGCTCTAAGGGTCGATGTATTTCCTCCAAGTCCAGCTAAAATTAAGGAAAGATGGACTCAATTTTAAAACATTTACATTTTTGAGAAATCACATGAGCATTAATAATATAAAATTAGTGATTATTAGGACAACTCATTTTCTTTTTTAAACATTGCACATGCGCTAAGTTATCTACCTGCTCACAGTGACGCTATGAGTTAGGTGCTACCATTATGCCCATTTTAGAGATAACAAACTGAAATTCAGACAGGATAAGTTTCTTTCCAGACTCACAAAGCAAACACTACTTAAGTTCTTGGCAGGTAAAAGGTGGATTTCTCATGAAGTCTCTAGAACTATGGGGACTTAGAGAAAAATCCACTAAGGATTTCTGAGCCAGTTGAATTCCAGTTACACATTAGTCTCTCATAGCACCTTTAATTTTCTACTTTGTTAATGAAGTCTTTCCTAAACTCGGATTTTAATTTGCGTCTCTTAAATCTCACCCCTCTTTTTTCCCTTGCAATGCTCCTTTCCCCTCAGCAGAGTATTGTGAAACACGATGCTTTGAAAGGCTGTGGCTCTGTGATGGCCGGTTTGATCACTCTGGTTTCAACATCCTGTAAACACTCACAAGGCTCCTGCCTGCCACTGTGATCACACAGCAGGGCGGTCACAAGTCGGCTTCTCTGCTTTATTCCTTCCTCGGGGGAAAGAATCTGCAAGAAGCTAAATGGACCATTTTCTTCCTAGCACTTTTAAAAGGCTGACACTGACAATGACCCTCATTTGAAGCTTCATGAGTCCTGAAATGTGAAACCATGCTGCAACCATAGTTTAAACTCAGCAAATCATAATGCTCCAAGAAACACTGTTTTTGTTTGCTCGTCTTTGATTACGTCGGGTCAAGATATTTATTGATCTTATGTCTGCAAAAATCAAAGTAATATGTGGGGTGGGAGAGTGGAAAGAGGCTAGCCCTCCCTGTTATTCCCCATCATCTTTATAACCATCCTTTTTCAGATGGCTCTCAAGTTAGGTACTGGCATAAATTAAAGATAAGTGGGCAAGAAAACTAGCACATTACTTTTAAAATTAAAGTAAATCATTCATTAGGTCATCAGGAAAATTGAGAAAATTTTTTAAAAGCAAAAATAAGAAAACCTCTGCTGGGCCAACCCTGTGGCCGAGTTGTTACAGTTCCGCACACTCTGCTTTGGCAGCCTGTGTTCGCAGGTTTGGATTCTGGGTGTGGACCTGCTCCACTTGTCAGCCTTGCTGTGGAGGCATCCCACGTGAAAAGTAGAGGAGGATTGGCATGAATGTTAGCTCAGGGTTAATCTTCCTCAAGCAAAACAAAGAGGAAGATTGGCAATGGATGTTAGCTTAGGGCAAATCTTCCTCACCAAAAAAAAAAAAAAAAAAAGGTGAAAAAAACCCCTCCATAATTCCACCAAGAAGAGGTTTATCAAAATACAAATAGCAGTAATCATGTACCAGTCTTTTCTTTTCTATTTGTATAAGCACACTTTAAAAAGCTTGGATAACTTAAAGTGACTTTGCATAGAAATTCTCATGAAATTTATATATTTTTAGTAATGTACGTGATTTTTAATGACAGCACAGGTTTACAATACATAGATGTTATATATTTGACCACCTATTTAATATTAGACAGTTGTATTATTTCCATTTTTTCCCTATATAATTAGGTTGTAATGAACATCCTACTCATTAAATTTTTTGTCATACATTTGGTTGTTTCCTTCGGACAGATTTTCATGAGTGCTATTATAGGGACAAAGAATGTGACTATTTTTAAGTCTCTTGAGTCAAGTTTCCAAATTACTTTCTAAACATTACAAAGGAAGTTTTAGAGGGATTCATTTTATAGGGAAGTGTACCCTGGTATAGTCTGCAAAACTTGCCCCTCTAAAAAAAAAATTTCAATACCTTAAAAGTTCAATTTTCCAGAATGCCCAGAAATGATATTTAATAGTGTTAGACTAGACCCTTAACAAACTCATGCAACTGCCAGCAATAATCTAGTTACCTTCTCATTGACAAGTTCACATGATTCCTCTTATAGGTGAATGGGCAGAAAAGTGGTCAGTCTCCATACAGACTGCAAAGTATAAAGGTGTTTTCTTGATGTGTTTATTTATGATATTCAGTAGAGTGGCATTACAGTCCAACTCCTGTGTGTCGTAAAGAAGAAAAGTTCTCTCTCTCTCTCTCTTTTTTTTTTTTGGTGAGGAAGATTGGCCCTGAGCTAACAACTGTTGCCAATTTTCCTCTTTTTTGCTTGAGAAAGACTGTCACTGACCTAACATCTGTGCCAATCCTCCTCTATTTTGTATGTGGGATGCTGCCACAGCATGGTTTGATGAGTGGTATGTAGATCTGAGCCCAGGATCCGAACCAGTGAACCCCGGGCTGCCAAAGCGGAGCATGTGAACTTAACCACTATGCCATGGGGCCAGCCCCAAGAAAAGTTCTCTTGAATCTATATATCTGAACTATATAATCAGCAACAAAAGCCTCCATGTTCTCTTTTTTATCCTCTAAATGTCAAATTAAGCTTTTATTA